TCCTTCTGGCTCTGGGGGGTGGTGCTTATCTCCGTTTCTAAGCCAAAGAACTTGCATTGTCCATAGACACCTCCTAGGTCATGTGGTCTGCATGACTGCATGGAGCGCCGTTTACCTTCCCACTTATTGATATACTCAGATTTGCATGTTTTCTACCTGCTAGGTTGGCAGGAGCTGGGGCTCACAATGGGAGCTTCTGCAGATTCGAACAGCCAACCTTCCGGTCAGCAAGTTCATCAGCTCATCTCTTTACTCCATTGCACCACCATGGCCCCTTGTTTATAACTTGAGAACTGCCTGTATTTGGCATTGCTCAGAGATTTCATTGTGGGGAAAGATATATATCTCTGGCCAAGACTTCTAAATAGCTTAAATGGAAAATCCCAGGATACCATAGGATGGAACCATCACAGCTGAAGTGCCTTAACTGTGTAGTGTGAATGAGCTTTCACTGCCTACAGAGCACAGAGCCTATGAGGAAATCTCTGCCCCATGAATAAAAAATGCCTCCTTCTCACATCGCCCTAAACTAGATAGGAAGATCCAATTGCAACATTCACACTTGCCTTAAAACAGACAAGAGTTATTTCTCTCTCCTTGGACATTTCATAAACATCCCTTGCCTAGTTTCCAACAGACCTCACAACCTCTCAGGATGCCTGCCATAAATGTGGGTGAAACATCAGGAGAGAATGCTTCTGGAACATGGCTATACAGCCCAGAAAACTCACAGCAACCCAGTGATTATGGCCATGAAAGCCTTTGACAACATGAAGATCTTATTACTTGTCTTCACACATAAATTGTGGTCTCAGTCCCAAGCATGTTTTCTCAGAGACAGAAAACCCCCGTTGAGTTCAGTACTGGCATCCTCCATCACCAGCCAACAAGCAGCAGTTTTGATAGGCGGATTTGGGAAGCATGACATGAACTGCATCTACTACAATGTAGGATGGGTGCAGTTTGACACTAATTTAACAGTCATGGCTCAATGCTATGGAATTGTGGAATTTGTAGTTTGGCACTTCTCTATCAGAGAAGACAGTAGCCCCTGTAAAGCTACAACTCCCAAGATTCCATAGCATTGAGCCATGGCAGTTAAAATGGTGTCAAACTGCATTCCTTCTATACCAATGGTTCCCAACCTGTGGTCCATGGACTATCAGGGATCTGCAAGAACTAAAATATGGTCTGCGGTCTCACCATTACTACCTCATTGCAATGAGAGTGACTGGTCTCACGAAACCCTCTTATAGTGCTGAGACGTTTTCTGTGGGTGAGCAGATGGCAACTATTGGATGGCATATGCTCTGTATCAGAAACTAGAGCTGACATGGTCTATCCAATGCAATTTTCTGAATCGGCACCCCAAATAACAAAACTGAATCTAAAGTTGACCAAAAACTGATATTTGTAATGCTTTTGGTACTGATGTTGGAGAGTGCTCCCTGGAAAATGTGGTCCCTGGTTAAAAAAAGTTGTTGGGCAGCACTTCTCATCATCTCTAGCCAACATAACCAATAGTAAATAATGTGACAGTTGGAGTGTACAAGAATATGGAGAATCATACATTGGTTGCATGTTGGTAGAGTCTATATCCTGCACACAGGAAAATGGTTGCAGTGAGGCTCACTCTAGAGCAGTGGTTCCTAACCTGTGGTCTCAGGACAACCAGTGGTCCACAAGAACTAAAATATGGTCCACGGCCTCACGGTTATTACATTGTTGCAACAAGAGCAACTTGTCTTGCGAAACCCTCTTATAGTGCAGAGGCTTATTAAATATGTTTTTTTGTGGGCAAGCAGATGGTGACTACTGGGTTCATGTGTTTCTTTTCTGCACTTTTACACTTTGTTGAGTCATTCTTTCAGAGTTGATTCCAATACCCAATATGTTTGTAAGAAATATTTATTTATTTTTATTTATTAATCGAATTTATATACCGCCACTCCCCGAAGACTCGGAGTGGTTTACAACATACATATGCAATACATTTCATTTAAAAACAAAGAAAATTTTCAATCAACCAGATTCAAATGCCAGCCTAAATAAATAAGTTTTACATGCACTACGAAAAGATAGTAAATCTCGGAAAGCTCGTGTTTCCACTGAGAATGCTCTACGCCTAGTAGACATCAGGTGAAAGGTCCTAAAATTGGGAACTTCAAGGAGATTCTGATCATCTGAATGGATTGTTCTTGGGGGTTGGTAGGGGGTGAGGCGGTCCCTCAGGTACCCCGGCCTCAGGCCATATAAGGCCTTAAAGGTAAGAATCAGCACTTTGAAGGGGATCTGGTGGTCAATCGGCAACCAATGCAGTTGCTGCAAGATTGGAGTAATATGACACCTCGCTGAGACCCCTGCGAGAAGCTGGGCAGCAGCATTTTGCACTAGTTTAAGTTTCCAGATCACCAATAAAGGCAGGCCTATGTAGAGGGCATTACAGTAGTCCAGCCTTGAGATGACCGTAGCCTGGATCACCATGGCCAGGTTGTCCCTGGACAGATAGGGAGCCAGACGCCTAGCCTGACGCAGATGGAAAAATGCGACTCTGCTTGCGGCGGAGGCCTGGGCCTCCATCATCAGAAGAGGGTCTAAAAGGACTCCCAAACTCTTTACCAAAGATGCCGGGCATAATGTCACGCCATCCAGGGTAGGCAACCGGATCACCCCTCCATCCAGGCAACACAACCAAAGGATCTCCGTCTTCGCTGGATTCACCCTCAACCTGCTGGCACGCAACCATCTAGTAACGGCCTCAAGGCATTGATGGAAATTATCGAGTATGGAGTCTGGTCGGCCTTCCATCCTCAGAATGCGTTGAGTGTCGTCAGCATACTGATAGCACTCAATCCCAAAGCCTCGCACCAGCTGGGCAAGTGGTCACATATAGATGTTACAACAACAGGGGGGAAAGGATAGCCCCCTGAGGGGCCCTACATTCAAGAGGGGTCTTCTTAGAGACCGACCCTTCCCTCTCCACAATATTAGAACTGTTTAGAGAACAATCACAACCATTAACAGTATTGCTATTATTACTTGCATTAATGGTAATGATACCACAACTATTTGCATCAGAAGAGTACTATCCCATAGAGCAGTGTTTCTCAGCCTGTGGTCCATAAACCACCAGTGGTCCACAAGAAGTAAAATATGGTCTGTGGCCTCACTGTTACTACAACATTGCAATGAGAGCGACTGATCTAGCAAAACCCTCTTATAGTGTCAAAGTTTATTAAATATGGTTTTCTATGGGCAAACAGATGGTGAGTACTGGATGGCAAATGTTCTGTATCAGAAACTAGAGCTGGCGTGGTTTATCTAATGCAATTTTCTGAATTAGCACTCCAAATAACCAAACCAAATCTAAAGTTGACCAAAAACTGATATTTGTAACCCTTTTGGTACTAATGAGATTGGAGTGAAGAGAGGGGCCAGGAAGGCAGTTCCATCTTGCCTCCAGTATCATCAGTTGTGAGCCTCCCCCACTCCAGCACCAACCGCTGCTCTGAGATCAGAGTGAAGAGAGAGGCCAGGAAGGCAGTTCCATCTTGTGTCCTGCACTGTGCTTATAATATAATATAGTATAATATAATATAATATAATATACTGTATAGGTAAAGGTAGGTAAAGGTAGTCCCCTGACATTAAGTCCAGTCATGTCTCACTCTGGGGTGTGGTGCTCATCTCCATTTCTAAGCCGAAGAGCCAGCGTTGTCTGTAGACACCTCCAAGGTCATGTGGCCGGCATGACTGCATGGAGCGCCGTTACCTTCCCGCCGGAGCGGTACCTATTGATCTACTCACATTTGCATGTTTTCGAACTGCTAGGTTGGCAGAAGCTAGGCTGACAGCGGAAGCTCACGCCGCTCCCCGGAATCGAACCTGCGACCTTTCGATCAACAAGGTCAGCAGCTCAGTGCTTTAACCCACTGCGCCACCGGGGGCTCCCGTAATATACTGTATATACATATAATATTGAGAATATTATAATGCAATACAATATAATACTACTACTACTAATATTATAATTATATATTTTATGTTAAATGTAATATTACTAATAATATTACAGTATAATATTATAGTACAATGTAATATATAATATTAATATTGTGCTATGGTAATAATATAATATATTGTATTTACTTTTTACTTGCAAGCCGCTCTGAGTCCCCTTCGGGGTAAGAAGGGCGGCATATAAATGTTGTAAATAAATAAATAAATAAATAAATTTTGAAAGTGGTCCCTGTTCAAAAAAGGTTGGGAACCACTGCTGTAGAGTGTAGAGATACACCAGAGAGAAGATAACCCGGTCCAACGCTGCAGGAGAGAAGAGGATTTCCTGAGCAGGTTTGTCCTTTCCAAGAAATGCAAAAGGAAAAGGGGGAGAAAAGATTCTTCGCCCGCGAGCGCCCTCTGGTGCCCGGATGGGACACAGCGGCATCCAGAGGCACGCGCGGAACAGAGAGGCACGCGCTTACAATAGCGTAAGCATCCTCGAAAGCGGGCCTGGGCCAACTCTGGTCCTCCAGGCGTTTTGGATTTCAACTCCCACCATTCCGAACAGCCTCAGGCCCCTTCCTTTTGTCCCTCAGCCGCTTAAGCGGCTGAGAGACAAAAGGAAGGGGCCTGAGGCTGTTCGGAATGGTGGGAGTTGAAATCCAAAATACCTGGAGGACCAAAGTTGGTCCATGTTTTGCCCTAAAGTATTAGGAAATAAAACAGCAAGTAAGAAAAACAATCTTCCCCAAAGTTATTAAACCATCATCCTCGCTCACCCCGCTTGCTTTCCCTCTCTGGCTGGATCTACACTGTAGAAATGATGCGGTGTGGCCCCACTTGAGCCTCCCTGGCTCAATGCTTTGGGCTCCTTTGGCTTCCAGAGGAAGGTCAGCCCTCGCCTGGTTCCATAGCATTGGCGTCTAGGGGCTGAAGAGGCGCCCAAATCCCATTATGACCCTTTCCCTCGACGGGAGCCCCGCTCCGGGCTGGCTCACCTGCTTCGGCGGCGAGAAGAAGGAGCCAGAAGGAGAGCCGCGGGGAGAAGCCGCTCTTCATCTCCAGAGGGAGGCAGCCAGGCAGGCAGGCGCCCGCGAGGAGAAGCCGGCAAAGCCCAGCCGCCAACGCGGAATGGCCGGTCCGCTCCCCTTCCTTATCCCTTACTTGCGGAGGAGGAGGAGGAGGAGGAGGAGGAAAGAGGCGGGAAGGCGCGTGTCCGCGCGGGGGAGCCCCGAAAAGGCCGGCGGGGCAACCAGAAGGAGTGGGCTCTGCTACTCAGGGTCTGTCAATGAGGAAAGGGCGGCCAGGGAGAGGGGCGGGGCCCAGGCTAGCTCATTTGCATAATTGGGCCCCGGCTCACGTCGAAGGGCTCGCTCCGGAGGGGAGGAAAGGCGAGGAGGAGGTAAACATGAATGAGGGATTCCGATGGATCGAGGGGTGAAACAGGATGCTTTTCCTTCCTGGCAGAATGGGGTTGGGCTGGATGGCCCTTGTGGTCTCCCTTGTGGCTTTGGAAGAATGTAAAAGGAGAACGACAGCTAAGGCAGGCCTGGTCCAACTTGGGTCTTCCCTCCAGGTGTTTTGGACTCCAACTCCCATCATTCCTAACAGCCTCGGGCCCATGCCTTTCCCCTTCAGCCGTTTAAGCTTAAGGAAAAGGAAGGGGCCTGAGGCTATTAGGCATGGTGGGAGTTGAAATCCAAAACACCTGGAGGGCCCAAGTTGACCCATGCCTGAGTTTAGGGTTTTTCCTGATGTAGTGTGAGAAGAATGCCTCACTTGCACAGAGGCAGCCTACCTCTTTTGGGTTGTCAGGAGCAACTTGAGAAACTGCAAGTTGCTTCTGGTGTGAGATAATGGCAAGGATGTTTTCTAGGGGATGCCCAGATGTTTGATGTTTTACCATCCTTGGGTACTTTAGAAAGATAAGAAGGGATGCTTTTTTGTGAGTGCTTTATGAACATAAGAAGGGGCTGTGATGATGCAGCAGGTTAAACCACTACACTGCAGAACTTGTTGACCAGAAGGTCAGCGGTTTAAATCCGCAGAATGGGGTGAGCTCCCATTGTTAGCTTCTGCCAAGTCAGCAGTTTTGCTGGCTTCTGCCCACCTAGCGGTTTGAAAGCAATATGTACTGCTTCGGCAGGAAGTTGACAGTGCTCCATGCAGTCATGCCAACCACATGATCCTGGAGGTGTCTGCGGACAATGTCAGCTCTTCAGTTTAGAAATAGAGATGAGTCAGACACGACTAGACTTAATGTCAGGGGAAACCTTTACCTTTAGGAACGTAAGAGGGAGGATGGAATTGAGCCTTCATGTCCTGTTGCTCCCAACAGATCATAATATTTCTCAAAGGCTTCCATAGCCAGAATCACTGGATTGCTGCGATGGCCATGTTTCAGATTGTGAGGATGCCTCTGAAGATGCCTGCCATAGATATGGGCGAAATGTCAGAAGAGAATGCTTCTGGAACATGGCCATACAGCCTGGAAAACTCACAACAACCCGGATCATAATATTAACCACAACACCTGAAGGGCCAAAGTTTGACCGTACCTTAGTTAAGGGTTTTCCTGATTTAGTGTGAGAAGAATGCATTACCTGCACACAGGCAGTTTACTTTTTATGGGGGGGGGGGGGATGTCAGGAACATAAGGGGCTGCGGTGGCACTTCAGAGGTGAAAAGGGGCCTAAGGGTTTGGGTGGACTCTTCAAACTGTGTGTAGGCTTTGATTCTATCACCTTTAGGTTACAATGTCAGTAGTACACATTGCAGAGCTATGTTGGACTATACCAATTAAAAACACACCTGAATCTCTTCTGGCAGGCCTACCCACTCAGTTTTAGCCATGAATGTTAAACTCACGTCTTGTGTCTTGTGTCCACTATCTTTTAATTTTTGTTCTGTGTATTTTATTATATGTATTTGTAGAAATATGTTTTAATGTCTATTTTATTCATTTTTATTTTATTAAGATGATGATGATGTGTTTTTAGCGATGTTGCAACCTGCCTCAAGCCACAAGGATAGGCAGGTAAGAAATAAAATTGTTGTTATTGTTATTATTATCTGGAGACCCAGGTTCAAATACCCACTGTCAGGGCTGTAGCCAGAAAAAAATTTCAGGGAGGGTTGAAAATTGGGGGGGGGGGGTTGAAACCTGCCTCCTAGCTCACACTGAACCAAAGAGCACAGCAGGGGGCAGAGCAGCCTTCAATAGCCTGCAGCTCCGCCCCTGTCAACCACCTCCACCAAGTCTGGCCTCCTTAATGACAGCATTCAACACCCCCCCCCCCACTTGGTTGGTTCGCTACATCGGCTATTGCTGCAAGTAATGACAGTGTGAATACATTGTCAATATTTGCTTGAGACAGTGCTTGCAGTTCTGGAGGGACTCTTAATTTTTTGCATCTCATAGACTTAGCATGGGGATTTAGTTAACCAGTTAAAATTCATGAGTAAACCAGGTTTTTTTTAACCTGAAAATTTTTTGGGGGGGGGGGTTTCAACCCCTAACCCCTCCCCCCCCCGGCCTGGCTACAGGTCTACCCACTGGGATATAAAAAGCCACTGGGCAACTATAGCCAAGTAACACTGGCTCAGCAGCAGAAGAAAGCAAAGGCAAAACCAGCTCTGAAAAAAATCTCATCAGTCAAACCCCTGATAGGTTCACCTTAGGATTTCAAAAAGGAAGAAACTGCTTGAAGGCAAACAATAACAAGATTCCAACACTGTGGAAGGCAGAGAATGCACCTTCTTTAGATATGTGCATAACGACGTGTTCCGTAAATCTGGTGCTAAAAAGCAATGAAGATAAGTTGGAGATAACATTAGGAAAGATACCTTTGCTTAGACTTGAATCAGATAGAACTGATGTCAAGTCTGTACAGGTAGGTTATATCCCAGCTTACAAAGTAGATGAATTCCTGGACTTTATTTCTTTAACAGAAATTTTGGTTCCAGGAGCAGAAATAACATGGAAAAAACAAGGATAGGTTTTTTCATCACCAAAAAAGAATAGCCATTCAACAAGTTTCAGAAAACTTTTTGCTAAGAATGAAACAATCAGTTCTGATGAGCCTTATGCAAGGGAACAACAACATTTTTGCATTTTCTAGAGACTATTTGAAAGCTGTGTTGTTAAAGGCTTTCATGGCTGGAATCACTGGGTTGCTGTGAATTTTTCAGGCTGTATGACCATTCTCTCCTAACATTTCACCCACCTCTATGGCTGGCAACCTCAAAATGGGGCTTATACATCTGTGGAATGTCCAGGGTGGGAGAAAGAACTCTTGTCTGCTTGAGGCACATGTGAATGTAGCAATCGGCCACCTTGATTAGCATTGAATCGCTGTGGAGCTTCAAAGCCTGGCTGCTTCCTGCCTGGGGGAATCTTTTGTTGGGAGGTGTTAGCTAGCCCTGGTTGATTCTTGTCTGGAATTCTCCTGGTTTTTGAGTGCTGTTCTTTATTTACTGTCCTGATTTTAGAGTTGTTTTAAATACTGGTAGCCAGATTTTATTCATTTTCATGGTTTGTAGAAAGAAGCTTCTTTTTCTCTCCGAACTGAAGCCTGTCTCCTTTTAGTTACTGGATCATGATCTCTCAGCCATATTACTTCTTAAATGTATTATAAAAATAATATTGACTGATATATGTGTGTGTATCAATATGACAATAGTATATATATTAATATATATTTGATACACCATTTTCTACCCGAACTTCCATTCATAGGGTTGCCATAAGTCAACTTCCCAACAAATAGCAACAAAAGTGACAGGCGTAGGTGAAACTATAGCCAAGATTTTCATGTATGATAACTAAACAAACTGTAATATTACACTCTTGAATTCAGCACAATTTAAATCACAAAACACCCTACAGCACCCCTCTGTTAAATGCTAATTTTGCTAAATCCACTCATCTGCTCAAAACCTGTTGGAATGGAAGGTCTCTGCCTGCCACTAAAATGGCAAAAGGTAAGGAGGCAGTTTTCTGTCTTTGGAGGGGATTTCTACACCCTGAGAGCAGCTACCAAGAAGGTACTGTCTTGCAACCTCATGAAATGTAGCTATGACTATGGCTGGGCCAAGAGATATTTCCTCAACTATTGTGGTGCCCAAATAGGCTCATGTATACAGTATACAGTTCTTCAGAAATCCTTTAGCTACTACACCAAATCTACTGTATTTGGTAATGAAATGCAGGGGACTTATGGTTTTTATTGTGTTACTGATGTTAATTGTAATGAATTTTTACCTGTGTTAAATGTTTTTAATGTTTAAATTATTTTTGTACTGTTGTGGGCATCAAATTGTGCCCTTTTGTAAACCGCCATGAGTCACCCTCGGCTGAGAATGGCGGTATAGAAGCATAGTAAATAATAATAATAATAATAATAATAATAATAATAATAATAATAATAATAATAAAAATGAACAAAAGAAAGACCATAGAGGCAATGTAACAGTAATAATCGTTCATGATTTGACATGCAACCATTTACGATATGTTGAATTGAAAAGATCTGCATGGAGACTGCGTAAACTCATGCTGCTATGCATTCCATATGAATAAAAAAATACAGAAGCTTCAGTCATGCAATATTTTTGAGACCAAACAAATATGCACAGAATTGAAGCTGCAAGGCCATTAAATGCTAATCAAGGTGCCAATTGCAACATTCACACTTGCCTCAAACAGACATTAGTTCTGGACATTCCACAGATATATAAACCTCACTTGCCTAGTTTCAACAGACCTCACAACCTCTGAGGATACATGCCCTAGATGCAGGTGAAATGTCAGGAGAGCATGCTTCTGGAACATGGTCACACAGTCTGGAAAACTCACAGCAACCCAGTGATTCCAGCCATGAAAGCCTTTGATAATACAATGCACAGAATTGTGGACGGACTTTCAAAATCTCTATTTTGCCCACATTTTTTATTATTTTATTTTATTTTTGCATGTGCTGTCACCTGATTGTGGTATTTTGCTTATATGTTGACGTGGGTTACATTGTTTTATGTTTATGAACACAATGGTTACACATGCCCTCATATTGCCAGCTATAGACATAAGATGAATAGATACATATACCGATCAAGAGAAACCTACCCAAAGCATGCCACGTTGTCTCTGTATGTGTG